AATTTTTACCCGACCAGTACATGACGCTGTGCCTGTCAACGGTACCGTTCTCCAGACCTCACACCACTGGATTTTCTTCTGTGGGGTCACTTACTATCAGTGGTGTACAATGACCGGCCTCAAAGCACTGCTGCACTCCACAACTATATCTGCGCCATGTGCGCAGCCATTACCTCGAGGACATTGTCAGTGGGTGCGCCAACATATGGCGCCATATTTACGTGTGCGAACAACATGACCGGCTCCAGTCTGAACACTTATAGCAGTAAATGTACAAACCTTAGTGATGTTAGGTATGCAAGTGTGGTTTTGTGGACTTGTAACATTTTGCCACAACTGGCCACACTGCAACCTTGTTTAAATATATTAAAACACAACAATCACATTCACTGTTCCAGGTTCATGTTGAAATCACTGATCATTCACTACCGCCTCCCCCTCCCTGGGAAATTTATCACCCTTTCTTCATCACGTCACCTTGGTAGTATTGCCATAACTTTTACTAATGATATGTAAACACTGTAGCGCCCTAATGGCTCTACCTACATAAAAAATAATGAAACGCTTGAGACTGGACACACACAGTGTGCAGCGACTTCTCCTTCATTAAGTTACCCGTATTCTGCCAAACAATCTGGATCTCCTATGGCCTCAAGACTTTGGGAGCATGCTGTAAATATAACCAATACAATTAAATACCTCAATGAAATATGTGAACCATAACATAAAAGGTATATTGCTTTGTTTCAGGCCAAGTTACAAATAAATATATAAATAAATAAATAAATAAATGCTTTGATATCAGTTTCTAACGAAATACAGAGTTTGGGCTAAACAGTAGTCTCTTTGAATATTCTCACAGGTGAGTCTGAGTGCTTTATGTGGATGTAACGAGAGATGGTAGTTGCATCTACATCTGCAGGAGCAATAACATGTTCGGAAGTAAATGATGTTGACTCCACATTATTAAATTGCTTAGTGCCTTCACCACAAGCCGAACCTACGACAGGCAACAAACAAAATGTCACAAGACAACTCCTTCTATGAAATGACTTATTCTTAAAATAAGAAGGAACTACAGGTTTTGTTGCAACGCTTAATTCATCAAGCATGATCTCAGGGAAGCATCTTAAGGATATATGTGAACAATATAGAACACAGACCATCTTAAGAAGTTCAGTCATTCAGCTGGTCGGGAAACTCATTGCCTCTCATGGAATCCAAAAGTCATAAGAGCCCTCCACAAATCCACATCCTGAACCAAATAAGTCCTGTCCATATTTTCACATTCTGTCTCTGTAAAGTCTACTTTAATAGGTCTATTATCCTCTCACTTACACCTAGGTCTCCCAAGTGGTCTCTGTCCTTTGTGTTTATCAAAAAAGATACGTCCATTTCTCATCTCTTCCATGCATGATACACAGCCCACCCAACTTATCCTCCTTCATATCACGGTCGTAATAAAATATGGAGAACAGCATAAATTATAACATTCATTTCATAATTTTCTATAACCTCCTCTTAACTTTTTGTCCTTTTCTCTTGGGTCAAAATATTCTCATTATTCTGTCTGTTACGTTCTCACATTCCAGTTTAAAGCTCATATAAAATATCCAAAATTAATTTTATACATCTACTTTGCATATAGGAAACCAATGCTGCACTCCAGGTTCAATCACAGGTTAGGTCATCTGGGATTTGTAGCAGACAAAATGATGCTGGGCCAGGTTTTCTCTGAGTACACTGGCTTTCCTTACCAATTCTCATTTCATTTCATTAGTCATCCTGTCATTGTGGCATTGTCATTAAATAACTAACTTAAAAAATAGACAAGAAATAATAAATAAAATTTAAAAGTTTGTGACAATGGTACATTAATGCGGTCGCTCGGTCGGTACAGTTCGCTTGCGGACTAAATCACGGATGTAAGATTTGAGGCTTTCACGGCGGTGACTATGAAGAAAGCATTCTTCTGGGATTTAGCACCGTGTATATGTGGTGTTAACCGACGTTAGGTAAGCTTCAGACACAAATGGAAGACTCACTGGTCAGACAACGGAGCCCCCTCCCCCAGCTCAGCTCCCTTGACAGCATATATTCGCAATAGAACTCTTAGTTACCCTCAGTGTCCTGAATACTTCTATATGCTTCAGCATTCCAATATCTGTAACAGAACTGTTTGCTGGCATTTCCCTGAAGGCTGCATCAATTTCAAAATATTTATAATTCTCTTTTTCCAGTTGTCCACAGAACCGTGTAAAACTTCAAAACACTTCACCTTCTGTTGACAACCCTTTCATAAAATTCACATTCTCTTCACCTGTTTCAAATGTCTTGTATTAAACAATATACATGTATGTATAAGTACAACAATGGCAGTAACATTATCACTTATGGGTTCTGATTTTTTTCTGCTCCTTTATCATAAGAAGTTACAAAAGAATTGCCTATTAGCTTCGCCCTCTGCATCTGTCCACATGTAACAACTCCAGAACCACTTAACATATTTTCATGAAATCTGATGTTGAGCTTCACTAAAATTTGTCACTGCACCACTTCAAATTAAAAACAGACAGCAACACACACTTTACATAAGGACCAACGTTTCTACACAAAACCCCAATGTATCTCATTAAATATTTGTGCAAGCAAATGTTTTGGGAAAAAAATTTGTACAGAAAAATGAAACATATATTTTATTCTCAATACATTTTCCCTGTCATATGGCTTTCAAGATAATGAAACAAAAGTAATCAAACACCCTAGAATACTGTGGCATTAGGCATACAATTCCTAACATGTTCCCATTAGAGTGTCATGTCTCAGAAATGCTATTTGGTGATACAACCTGAAGCAAAAATATCACACAACCCCACACAGCGATATTAAAACAGTTAAATGTGAGTACATGCATGAATCCATCCCATTTCATTATTTCCACAACATGGCATATAAAACTGCCTTTCTGACAATGCTCAATCTATAAACAGAAGAGGTAAAGTTGTCCTTGTGCTTAACTAATTAAGCACTACACCATGAAGAGTAATGAGGAGTGGATGTGTAGAGATCCATATATTCTTGACCTCGGCACTAGTCGGAGGTGGGTGATCAGCTTGGTGCACCGGCCACTTGACCCCTGGGGAGAAAGCCCCCGGTAGCCATTGGAAAGGAGGCTTAGTGCACCCCAGAACCAGTCATGTACTTCTTGTATAATCACATCAGTGAACTTGAAAGGATCTATGACAAAACTTCAAGGGAGTATTTCAAGGTACTACCACAGCATTTGTCTGGAGGAACTGTGGAAAACCACCAAAAACATCACTAGGAACAGTCAAGGTAATGGCTGAGATTTTAGTCAGCCACTTCCTGAAGACAAGCAAGAACCATTACCACTTGTGGCACCTTGCTGGGTTACGCATTTGTCTGTTTCGCCAAGAGCTGAATAATGGCAAGTTCAGGGCATAAGGTTTGAAGCCTTCATGATCGATACACTACAAGTTTCCTGGGCTATTGGTCACATTACTGAGTTAAAAACCAACATTTTGGACATCTTCTCTGTCTCCATCTTCAGGGAAATATTGATGATGAAGAAAGAAAATCTACAGAATGCTGGTTTTTAATTCTACATTGACATAGCTGATAAAAATGTAAAGTTGTCCTTGTGCTTAATTAATTAAGCACTACACCAAGGAGGCGTAGAGAGGGGTGGTTGTAGACATCCACATTTTCTTGACCTTGGCACTAGCTGGAGATGAGTGGTAAGTTTCACAGTCCAACCACTTTACCCCTGGGAAAAGAATCCCCAGTACACATTGGACAGGAGATTGGGTGTACCCCAGAGCTGGCCTGTATGATGTTGAGAAGAAAAAATCCTTGACCCTACTGGTACTCCAACTCAAACCAGTTTCTTGCCCAGCCCATAGCTAGTTGCTATCCCAGCTCATATGATACAAATGATAGCTGGAAAAATATCTCTGTGGCATTCCAGTGTAGTTGAATCATCTGATGAGAGATACCCCATACTTCCTTAACCCCCCACTGTGGGCAAGTAGTCTGCCATTACTGCTTAAACACATGAAACATATCGAAATTTGTGCTGCATCTTTGATTGAAATGAAGCACTCATGAAAAAAGCGGTACAAAAGCATCTATGAGACAATGTGGGTTAGGCAACTTTCTCCTCCCCTCCCCCCCTAAATCTGCAGCCATTCATATGGGTGATAACAACTTATGTACATTACACAACCAGTATAGTAATGAATTCCATGAGAGAAGCCAACTGTTGGTTATTCAGCTAGCTATTATACCAGACTTCACATCCAACATGTAATATAAAATTTAACCCTTCTCATTGCAAAAAAAAAAAAGAGATTTTAAATCTTTCCGTATTAGGGGCCAGTGGCCAGATTTTAACTCAGGAGTAACAGTATTAATGTAAAATATGCAATACTTTAAAAGCTGGAACCCAAACATGACCATTATAAAAGTGTGATGACTAGGTCTAAAAAGTGGGCTTTTTTACTTTCAAGTCTTCCAACCACAATTGGTGTAAGCACTTTTCATCTCCCTGCACATGCCTCATGTCCTGCCAATCCCATTCTAATTGATTTGACTGTATTAATATTATCTGGTGGAGCCTAAATTACAAAGCTCTTCAGTGCACACAACTGTGCATTAAAAAAAATACCCTGATAAGATATTTTGTATGAGGTCTCTACAGCCAAGTGCACTTTCTTTATGAACATTAAATTTTAATCATTTTTAATAGCTTTAAAAGTGATATTTTACAGACTGGAAACAGTCTTGACAAAGGGTCCAACCAGCAATGCATCTTCTCTTCACATTTCCAGTCATTAAGCGCACGCGCGCGCGCGCACACACACACACAGTTTTTATGGTTCATGTCAGAAAACAAGTTAACATACTGTGCAAAAGAAGGAGTTTATGAGGGATCTTTTCTTATTGTGTGGGTAATATGTAAATAAATATGGAAAAGTAAATCCATTTAGAAATACCTGTATTTTATAATAACCAACAATGACAGATCAACATAAAACTTCCGCGCATGTTCAATAAAGTCACAGCTGATGCATACAGCGAGGATGTCTGTTAAAAGAAAGACATTCCACCAAGAGGTTTAATAATGTCATCACCTTCAAAATTAACTGACCACTCATAGCAGTACAATACTAAAACTAGGATCACAGATGGAAACACCAAGTTCATGCCATAAAACAACAAAATACAAAGCAACTGTTAAGAATATGACTATTACAACAACTTCTAACTTTAACATAAAATTTTTGCTATAACGGTAAAGAATTATATTGACATGTATACACATACACACCTCTAGAACTGTCTTTCAAAATCATGTCACACTACTACACATATAAAAGATAATTCAAAGCTTTGGTTTTGCAAGCTTACACCATACAACAAAAAACAAAAACAAAAGAGTAGGTTCAAATTAAAATGAGGTACATGACAGGAGTGGTACACTTTGCAGAATATACTGCATAAAGAGATTCATACGAACTGATAAAACCACGAGAAAGTGTTTGGTAACCAATTGATTATAGAGATCATAACAAAAGGCAAGTAAAACATTTTCTGTCTGATGATTTTCGGTCACATTTCCTTTTTCGTTTATATCTGACTGGAGCTTCAATAACAGAACCATGTGCATTTGATATGGAACTACCCTGTTGTGTATATGGTTCCTGCTTTAAGGCAGATTTCTCACCACAATTTTTAGAGTAGACTTCCAAATCTTGAATACTGTATGCAGTAGTTATATCTCCACAGCTATGGGACATAAATAATAGATAAGGGATTTTTTTCTCCCTGGTTCTGGTTGAGCAGAAGCTGATAGGAGCAGAAGCACTACGAAAGAGATTTTTCACAGAACAATCATGTGCTGTGACAGCATTACCGCTCAGTTTGAAAACTGCATTGTTCAGAAGTGTGTTTAGTTCAAATACTCTCTTACACGGTAATATCCTACCTTTGGAAGCCTGTCTTACGGCCTGTTCTCTACAGTTCTTACAAATGTTTAGTTTGCGGCTTTCAACAGAACTGGCTGGCTCTGAGGACGAAAAATAATTTTTAGTTGGTAAAAGAAACCTCGTTTTACTGCTGGAATCAAATTCACTGAATTGACACTCAATTGTAGTTTGGATATCAGTGGTAACTGTATAATTAGAACCTGGACTTGACATTTCATATCTGAGAGAATGACCCGTTTCTGCTGATCTGTTACACTGAGAACTGCACGACTGCATTTCCTGGGAGGAATCTGGGAGAGTTCTCTCAGTATGGCTCTTTATATTTAATGCTGACCGAACATTCATCACTCCAGGATTTGTAATGGCAGAGCTTCCAGAACACAATAAAGCAGCATTCTGTGACACTTCCACCTGCTTACCTGATTTTAAATCTGCTCCTAATAAAAAAACAGGGACATCTGGTTTTAGAACTTGAGTATCAACATCATTATCACCTTGCTGTAACACTGGAAAATCTTGTTCTTCTGAAGGAAAACCTGAAATACTTTGAACTGATTTATTACTGCCTTTTACCTGAGAACTGCTCTGTACTGTTTCTGCAACACAATATAACGTCAACGGGTTGGTGTCTGCAAGTTCTGCATCTGCACAGTGAGCAACAAGTTTATTGTTGTTGTTGTTGTTGTGTACATCACTGGCACAAAAACATCCTCTTTTTGTTACTGGAGCCTTCATTGACTGAACTTCCATTTCAGACATGCTACATGAAACGGAACATTCACTCAAGCTCGAACATGACTCACACTTATCTTCAATTATATCAGGTACCTGAAATTGTACGGTGCTATTTAGATCAGAGCTATTCAATTCTTGTTCATTAACTTCATCTTCAGAAGACATACAAACATTGTAAAGTGAGTCCCTGTCCTTAGCCAAGTTTTCCACTGGCATATCCTCCATACCAGAGGAGGTAAAAGCTATCCTCCTATAACCGCCAGATGGGTATTTTTCAGTGAGCAATAAGGTTTCATTTTGGGGTCCAGAATAATATTCATAAATTTCCTGAATGTCTGGTCTCATAATCTTCCTAATTTCATTACTGCATTCATTTTGGTCACCTCCACATTCCTCTTCATCTGGACCGTCAGGACGCTCCACAGTATCCACTACAAAATTCCAGCTGCATACTTTGTCTTCCGTGCTCTGCGGTACTGATTCATACAACATTAAATCTGTATCATTTTTTCGTTCGCACTCATCTGGAAATTCAAACTGAGATATGATGGAAGGAGTGGGAGAGGATGAGGGGGTCTCCATGCTCTCAGGAGTATAAGGGTCATGCAACAATGAAGCGTGCGCTGAGGGTGGCAGTAACAGATGACTGTCACTTCCAGTAGCAACAGGACTAACTGTCGTGCAACGAGCAGCAAGCAGCATGGAAGAGAGGGCAGCAGGATCTAATCTGCTGCCATGTTGGCTGCGACTCTTTGGCCACTGAGGGGGTGAAACACGTGCATCAACAGGCAAGGACAGGCCAAAGCATGGAGAAGATTCACTGCTGCAGTCACAAGGAATCATACCTGCATCTGACTTCAGGCTCACCTTCAAGTACACTGGCTGAAAAACAAATGAATGCATTGGTCAAAAAATGGCGCAGTAACAGCAGCATTAATAATAATAATAAAAATTTATGTGCTGGGGTCAACAGCTGGTGGCCAATTACAGCATAAATACAAACAGAAGCAGCACGAAAACACAAGGACAGGACAAAATAAATGAAAGTTGAACAGTTAAGGTTGTTTACATTTAAATGTGAGTTTCTAATATCTGTAGATTTAAAAACTGCATTAGCAACAGAAACACCACCTCTGTGGTCTAGTGGTCAGAGTTCATGGCTAAAGATCCAGAGGTACAGGTTCGATTCCTGGCGCTACCAGATTTTCTGAGAAGTAGTGGGTCTGCAACAGGGTCCACTCAGCCTCATGAGGATAACTGAGGAGCTATTTCCATGAAACAGAGGTTCCAGTCTAGAAAACCGAAATTAACGGCTGTGGGGATCTGTTGCACTGACCACATAACACCCTCTATCTGCTATAGTTGGCACTTCGCCAACAAGTGGACAATCGGTCGATATAGTTTGCTTGCGGACTAAACCCAAGGAGTTTGTTTGTATTAACAACAGAAACACAGTGGCTTGAAGAGCAATAATAATAATTCAATTATTTATGTGCCTGCTGAGACTTGTCCTAATGTATGGAAGTGAGAGTTGGAGGTTAACTAGGAGTAATGAGGAGAGCTTGAGGGTTCAAGATGCTTTGAAGGATATTTTGCCCAGCATGTGTAGAAATGATTCTGGTGTAGAAGATATACCAATGAATTATTTGAACTACTTTCTGAACCAGATATTGTTAAAACTATAAAAATTGGAAGACTGCAATGGGCAGGCCATGTTACGCAAACGATGGATCACAATCCTATTAGAAAAAGAACCAGATGGATGTAGAAGAGTTGGAAAACCAACTGAGGTAAATGGATGGATGGAACAGAGGGTGCTTAGTGTGGGAGGATGAAGACAAAAAGCATTGGACAGGAAGGAATGAAATAATGTCTTGAAGTGGTCTGGGCCCAAACTGGACTCTAGCCATTAGTAACAATAGCAGTAATAGTAATTTATTTATGTGCAAACTTTATGACGACGGCAACAAAGACTATGATAACAATATGCCTTTTGTTTATAGAAACACTTGCGAACCCATCTCTCTGCCTTGTCTGCTGCTTGAGCTATGTATACAGTGCTTATGTGCCCCTTACTCTTTTCTCCCTTCAACGCCCACCCTTCTCTCTGATGCTGAGTGGTGGCCCTTCTGTGCCTAACTGCTTTCTGGTACCTGGCATCAATATGCATACTTTAAAATTTCACCTGGTACCTCTCTAAAATTGTTTTGGTTTGTAGCCACCTCCCAGTCAGGCAACCGAGTCGATGCTTGGTCTCTAAAGGTATGTTATTTGGTATTTTTAAAGTTGGGGGAGGGCTTAACTTTAAATGGGCAGACCACATATAGACTACATTAGGGCTGTTTTGTTTCAGGGCATCCTCCACTTTTTTTTCTGGCAGGGATATTGTTCTGTTCTGGAAAGACCTTCACTTGTCTTGTACCACGTTTAAATAAATAAATATTTTATTAATACTCTGTTTACTGTCTTCCCTGTATTGTCAGTTTGTATGTCACCACCATTAAGGGTCTCTGACCCACTTGATCCACCACAGTTTAAGATGCTTACCAATACATCAAATGGGAGAGGAGTAGGGAAATAATAATGAGAACACACACACAATGGTTGATATAAACACATAAAAACAAGAAATTTCTCTTACTACCTGTGGAAGGTACTTATATAACAGGAGATGAAAAGGTGCATGCTATAGCATCATAAAATGCAATCTTTACTTGAAAATCAAATATCCCAATAATGTTAATGCCTGATCAAATTTAAAAAGTATGTTAGAGGAAGTGTAAGAAATGCATCATGATATTCCCTCGTCATGAAACATGAAGTTGCTGTAATATTTAAACTCTACAAAGAGGACTGTAATTCTGTCTCACTTTCAGCCAGAAACATCAGTTTCTCAGCAAATGATAATAGAGACATCCCAAGTTACAAATAAAACTTGTAAAACTCAACAAACATTTTGAAGTATTGTGCAGATTTCTGTAATATAATTAATCATTTTCATCATCATGGCTGTCAAAGTTTAAAATTGATCAACTTAATAGATGCTATGGCTATGGTATTACTGTCAGGGCTCTCTACATGGCCTAACAAGATTGGGGGCATAGTAGTGGTGACTGAGAGTTGACCCCCCAAAATGAATATCAAGTCAAAAATGGATTAACTTAAGAATTGTATTTCCCTTACATAAAACACATCCAATCTACATCATTATACAGTATGAGTACATTTCCCATACATTAGCAGATAAAAGTATTATAACAACTTGAATCTTATTGCCACATTTTGGCAATGTTGCATTCAAAACTGAACATCCAAACATCCCTATTTATTAAAGACCACTAAAAATGAAAATATCACAGTACAAAACAAACAATGCTTATGAAATTGCTTTTAAATAAAACAAGCTACTAAATGTTTTAGAAAGGTTTACAGACACATAAACGAAATTAAACTATAAATAACAAAGGGAGAACATCATAAAAGTAGCATCTACTCAAAATTGATGATAGCCACTATCAAAATCAGCATTAAACAAGAACAATCAGGTGTGGATGAGTGTTAATGTTTATACCTGCTGGTGTTCCCATCATGTATGAAGTGAAAGCCCAGGAAAACAGGCTGCATGTATCAAGTGAAGAAAAAGAAGAACATAAAGCTCCTGCACAAAATTCTTATAACTGAAAGAAGGTGTATTCATGGAAACAAGGACATAATGATAGCATTTTTAAAACAGCTACTATACACAAAATGCAATACAAATAGTTGAGGCAACTAATGGACATAAATGCACTACCCATGAAAACCAAATTAATTGTAACAACTGAGAATCACATGTAGATATTAATACTCCTTCTAGTCCTTTAATCAAGAATTAATTTTGCTACAACTTAATTTTCAGCATATCCCAGTTACCTATGTGCAGATTATCCAGCTTGCAGCTTATCCATGCATCTTATTTAGGATCATCTGCAATCCTACGGAGTGTAGGCACAAAGAACACAAGAACACTGGATGGAATTTCATGAAATTTGATATTGGTGTTGAACCATTTCAACTTTCATCTAGATGGGACAAAATTGACAACTTTATATTAAGATCCACATGCTTTTCTGCATATAACTTAACTGTAACTCGTTAAATATTTATCACAGTGCAAAATGTTTCACACAAAAGCTGTGAAGAAAAATAAATCACACATTTTATTTTCTGTACACTTTCTGTAAGTCTTACAGCTCTAGATACCTGGACATCATGTACACATTTATATTTAACAACCATTATGGTCCCTGATCACATGAGAAACCTGGATTATCCATGTTTATCAATTATTCACGCAGTCTTTCCACTTCAGTGGCCCAGAAAATCAGGAGTATACTGCATACTTTAGGTTTTATCCTACACCTTTGAACTCTAATTTCCTGCTTTCTTCATAGTGTACACTAATAATACACATCAATGAATATATAGCAATATCATTGTCATTTGATTCAATTTTATTCCATTTGCAGATGGAGGAGACAGCACCTAAGTATTGTGGGTTGCTGAAATAAATCCTTTTTGGAACTGGCACACACATCTTCATTTAGATCATCAGAACATTCCACAGAATTCACTGCAAAGTCCTGGTTCTATGTTTTGTCTTTTGTGCTTTGTAGTGTAGTGTAGTGTAGTGTACATGAATTTTTACCACTATTTCATACTAATCTAGAAATTCAAACAGTGGTGTTTGAAAGGAGTGAGAGAGGATGATGCCATCTCCATGTTATCAGGAATATAAGGGTAATGCAAAAGCAAAATGTGAAGCAACAAGTGACTCTCACTTCCAGTAACTACAGGACTGTCATGCAAGGACTGAATAAGCAGACATAGCCAGTCGACAAGGGTACATTCCTTCAGCTTTGTCAAGAAGCCTAGCAACTTTTCACTGTAAGAAACTAGCATGTTAAGAAACATTACAATAAGGTGAACTAATGGGGGTGTTGTTAAACCAGTAGAGAACATTCTGGTTCTATAAAAGATGGGGAATTCCTTGACCAGCAAATAACTACCAGGTTCTTCAGAAGGGCTCTCAAGTGAGGAAGTGGGAAAGTCACGATGAAATTAGAGAGCAATACATTTCAGAAAACCGTGACAGCAGGACTGTGGCGAGAATGACTCAGTTTGACATTCCTGTGTGAAGAGAGCTTCAAGTTTCAAGACTCCAGATGAGAACAAATATTTTCTCTACTATACAAACTCTTTCACTGAAATAAAAATTTACAACTCCTTCATAACACACGAAAACATACTACTTATCCATTTTAATATCAGATACTGATGCTGAGTCATGAAAACATCACCAACCATTATGATTCAGACTGAACTTGGAGTTTGCATGCATGTCTACTTGATAGTATTCAATTCCAAAATTATTATCATCCCATCTACTTTTCGCAATGCTGAATATCTGGGTATACAAAAAAATTCCTCTGGCCGTTTTGTATGGGTGTATCTTTTACTATGCAGAAAGAACAGAAAAGTTGGTTGTTTGAAAACAAAGTGCTTGGGAAAATATTTAGACCTAAAATGGATATTACATTAGAAGTTCATGATTTACACAGAACATTTTGCACTGTTGATCAGAGGTGGAGGGAATGGACTCAAGATCATGTCCAATGGCAGGATTTGGTACTAGCAGTGTTGAATCTTCAAATTCTGCTACATACTGCCAGGTAATTTCAAACTATAGTAAATTAACAACAGCATTACTTTAAGAATTTTGTTTTAGAATTTCAAAGTCCTTCTCATATGAAGTGTATCATCGTAAGTATATTTATTATCTACAGAGTTTAGTCACATTATGTCCATCAGCATACCAATACAATACTATTTTAGACAACAAAATGGAAACTTATAAAATATTACCTTATTAATGACAAGTGTTGAAAATCTGAAATAAGCATAAATAAAAAGTGAAATAAAAAAACACAATAACCAATAATTTGAAATAAACATACTTTACCTTGTGGTCACCCATGCAAGTGCTTGTTCCCATTAGCCCATACTGAACACTACCAGGTTCATCTACCTGAAACACATTTCATTGATATGTTCTTATATACTGTCACATGTCTGGGGTTCCGTGACTAATAATAACATGTTCTGATTTAAATGATCAGATTTATTGGCATTTCTATTACAATTACAACCACTTATAACAGCTCACAATCTATGACTGCCTAAGAATCATTTCATTCCTTACTGGACTACGAATGTCATCTGATTTATGAATCAGCCACTTACAAATCATTAAGGACAAATGAATTCTCCTGAACTGAACTCTTTTATAATTCAGGGCAAACCTAAGACAGATCACCATCTCAAACAGTTCCTCTGTTATTATCTGTTCTCCTGTTGCTACGAGACATGCCCAGTGACTTGTTACCCAGGAACGGAGGTCCCTCCGCTGTTGACTGCGTAACCTGGGAATGCGTTTACCAAACCGTTGTTTAGCAATGGTCATACTTGTCACAATACCTAAACAAAACAATAGAATGAAGTTTCCATGCACGTGGGTATTTATCAATTTATGTTCACTATATGAATGCATGTGTATGGGACAGCATAATACATGCAAAATTCACTACTGAAAAAAGGTAATATAATTTTACCAAAGTGCTTTAATATATGCATTTAAGCTTTACTCTCTTCTCGCGATTTGTGCTATAAATGCACAAGAAACTGAAAGTTTACTTGTGTTGATGTGAGTCCCATTAGTCACTTTACACATATCCTTGGTTTCTTTTGCTTCAAATGGTTCATGTTAACAACTTTCACTTTGGACCTCACTTATTTTAAACACTGACATAGATAACAAGAAGAGGAATAAGATTTGAAGATCAAAGCAGACACAGTTTCAAAACCTTCTCTTCCAACTCACTGCCCTGAAAATGCTAAGACTTCCAAGAAAAATCTCTGAATATCTTGGAAACTTTCATTACCATAAACTGAAAATGGCTGAAGATCAGACTTCTACATGGAGAGATTGTTCTGTGATGGTCTAAACAAGCATTTCCAGTGAAGGTATAATGGAAGAGGAGGTCTAAAACCTTGGCCACCTCATTCTCCAGACATTATTCCAACAGACTCTTGTAAGAGGTTTCTAATGTTAAAGCCAAGCAAATGGACCATCTGATTCAAAGAATCTGGGATACTGCAGATTTGGTAATTCCAGATGTTCTTTTATATGGATATTCCAAGAATTTGAATGTGAATGATATGTGTGCATAGCAATGACTGAACCATACACTGCACTTCATTAACACAAGTACATTTTCAGTTTCTCTTTAATTTCATGTTTCGGTCCAGTTTCTTCATTTCTTATTCCAAAAACATCTCTTAGACATATTACACACAACACCAACTATAACAAATCAGACTATTTTCAACACCACAGAACTCTAACAAAAATCTTCCAGTGGTGGTTCAAAAGTATACCCGAAGTTTCTTTATGCTTCAGCTTCTGACAAGGTGAAACTTTGTATCCTAGGCCAGTTAACGATCTAACATAATAAGCAACAAATTCTGCACAAAAATACAAAAAATACAAAAATGCAATGACAAGTGTGCCAACCTCTAACTTATGTGAATACAGTTCATAATCCATTTTAATTCTTCCTTCGACCTATGCTTAAGACTCCCAAGTGGCCTCTTCCTTCTGAAGCTTCTAACTAAGATACTGAAGTCATATGTGTGTAAAGATACACATACAAAACAATCATACATGCTACATGCCCTGAAACCCATTTTTTCTCGGTTTAATCATTCTAATAAAGTAAGTTTCAATTAGCACATATTATGACAAAGTTTTTAATATGTAAGATTTGAGGTTTTCACAGTGGTGACTATGAAGAAAGCCGTCTTCTGGGATGTGGCGGCGTGTAGAGATTGTGTTAACCGACGTTTTGGAGGAAAGTATCTCCTCCATCTTCTGGGTAGAAGACAAGAAGAAATCCGTGAGCAAACTAGCCAGAGCAGGCGCGACATCAGTTAACATAATTTCTACATGGTTACACATCCCAGAAGACGGTTATCTTCAAGTTTTTAATAGTTAGGACTTATAACACTGAATTTCCATTTCACGCATCAAATGAGTTGGCAGAAGCTGCAATGCATATGACTTGCACTCGGGAGGTCCCTGCATCAAATACTGGCTGAGAGACTGCAGTATTATTTCTTCTGTTATCCTCAGTCCCTCCATATAAATGCCAGGAGAGCGATCTTAAATTGGGCCATTACTGTTTCCTTTCATATCCTTTCCAGTTTACTTTTCACTACAATCCAGTCATTCAATGCTATATACCTTGAGTTACTGACAACACTATTCAACGAATCACAAACAAATCCACTTACTTACTTACTTACTTACTTACTTACTCATGGAGCTGAGCCCTTCTGGAGGAGCCACCAATTCTGCAGCTATTCAAGAATTTCCCAGCCTTTTATGGAACCCAAAGGTTCATTACCATGTTCACAAGAGCCCTCCACTGGTCCCTATCCTGAGTCACATCAATCCAATCCATACCATCCCATCCTATCTCTCTAAAACCCATTTTAATATTGTCCACCCACCTACACCTTGGTCTTCCCAGTGGTTCTTTTATTTCTGACTTTCCCACTAATATCCTATATGCATTCATCTCCTTGATTCATGGTACATGTCCTGCTCACCTCACCCTCCTTGACTTGATCATTCTACTTATACTTGGAGATCTCCTTGATTTGATCATTCTAATTATACTTGGAGAAGAGTACAAGTTATGAAGCTCCTCACTGTGCAGTTTTCTCCAGCCTCTTGTCACTTCATCTCTCTTCGGTCCAAATATTCTCCTCAACAACCTGTTCTCAAACACCCTCAGTCTATGTTCCTCTGAGAGACCAAGTTTCACACCCACACAGAACCACAGGCAAAATTATAGTTTTGTATATTCAAATTTTTATGTTTTTGGACAGCAGAAGAGAAGACAAAAGGTTCTGCACTGAATGGTAGCAAGCATTGCCCGAGTTCAATCGCCTCTTAATTTCCTCCTGAATCAGGTTTCGATCTTTTATCACTGTTCCAAAATATCTGAACTCTTTTGACATTTTCAAAACATCTGTTTCGTGTCTTTATGTCATGATTTTTCCCTGCATTTTGGTGGTGAGGCAGCAACATATACTTGGTTTACTCTGTGTTTACTTCTAGACCAACCTGTTTACTTGCGTCAATTAAAGTTTGTGTGTTTTTCTTTATTCACATCATGTGTCCCATTTAATTTCATTCCTACCTCATTTCCCTGGATCTTCCTAATGGCATATTCTAAAGTAAAGTTGAAAAGGAGTGGCAATAAAGCATCTCCTTGTTTCAGACCATTCTGGGTAGGAAATTTATCAGACAGATGTTTACCTACATGGACTTTACTATACGTTTCATTTAAACACGTTTTAATCAACCTAATTAGTTTCATGGGTATCCCAAACTCAATCAGAATACTGTACAATACTTCACTCCTAACAGAATCATAGGCTTCCTTGAAGTCTATGAATAGCTGATGTACTGTCTCATCGTACTCCCATTTTTTCTCCAATATCTGACGAATGCAAAGATCTGATCTGTAGTTGTCTGTTACGTCGAAACCCACACTGATGATCCCCAATAATTTCATCCACATATGGACATAACCTTGAGAGAAGAATATTGGATAAAATTTTGTATGAAGTTGATAGCAGTGATATCCTAATTACTACGGTCAGTTTTATCACCTTGTGAACTGGTACAATAACAGACTCCTTCCACTGATCAGGCAATGTTTCCTTATGCCAAATAGAAGTAATTAGATTGTGGATCTTAGAACATAATATTTCACCTCCTGCTTGAATAAGTTCTGCTGGAATTTGATTACTGCCTGGCAATTTATACCATTTCAATTTTGCAATAGCACTTTCAACCTCAAAAGGGCTAGGATCAGGTATTAACGGCTCAGCTGTATCAATTTCTGTCTGCCTAACATCACTGACCCTATGTACATCCAATAACTGAAAGGAGTTCTTCAACCTATTCAAAATGTTGTGGGAATCTGCAAGCAGATCACCATTCTCATCCTTCACTAAGTTACTGCTAGGCTGGTAACCCCTCTTAAAGTCATTTATTCCTCTATACATGTCTCTAATGTTCTTGTTCTTACTGTTCATTGCAAGCTCATCAACTTTGTCTTTCAGATATTCTCTCTTTTTGTTCCTGAAATGCCTGCTGGTTTCACGTCTTATATTGTTCAGATTATCCCCATTTAACTTGCTTAGATCCTGTAACCATTGAACTTTGGTCTGCTTTCTTTGGTTTAATAATTTTGAGCATCCTTCATCGAACCATGGCTTATGCTTCTTCGGTTCATAATATCCTAGACTCCCTTTGGCAGACATTTTTATATTCTCTCTAATAGTTTCCCAAGCTTTATTAACATCCACCTCAGTGTCCAAGTTTTTTCAAAGCCGTGAACCTATTTTTGATTTCAATACGATACTGCTCTTTACCCTCTACCTCATTTGTCCACTGCATGCATTAAAACATTATTAACATTTCTGTTTGTGACATGAAATATACAGCCTTAGGAATATGAAAATCTGAGAATGATATCTTAATTATGAAACAAAACATTGCATCTGCTACAATTAAACAAGACCTTTCATATCAAAGGTACAGTATACAATTAGGGGAAAGCTGACTTATATGCAATGCTACACAGACTTATCTAGAAACTTACATTGCTGACTAGAGATTTTGCAGACTTGCTAAGCAGGATACGGTCACACCAGGACGGACATCGAGTCTGCATGTAACATTTTGCTCCTTTCCTATCCTCTTCAAACGGATAACTTGGTTGGAAAGTAATGGGAAACTCATACAATCGATCAGCAAAAGGTTCAAGCTCACGATCAAACTCCTTTAGCTTGAAAATGAAACAACAGAATTATATTAGAAATAATGAGAGCCCACTAATGCATCGCATGTTTACAATCTTTTAACTCTAATGTAACAAAGAAGCCACACAGGTGAAGGGCATAAGTTATTACTTTAATCTGACTCTACATTAGATCAGTGTTGCTATTTATTAATCCTTGATGGCTGGTATATTTTAAGATCAAACTACATCAAGTGTAACTTATTTATTTCAAAACTGACAGCTTTTGGGCTCAGGCCAACTTTTGAGAAAAACATGATTTTTCCAATATCAGTTCCATTACAAGTTCACTTATTTAAATATTTTAAAATCACCTGGGCCAATTTCAATTTATTATTACTGTTGTTATTGTTGTTGTTAATCACTGGACTAAATCCTACCTTTCAACACGAGATTTCTCCAAATGTTGAACTGAGTCTAATAGATGAACTGAAGGAGTTAATAAAGAACAATGTAAATACATTCTCAGTTCAGCTGAAATGTAAAGCATATAATTAACTGACATTAATGATATGAAAACATTTTTAAATACAAACTCTTTACATTCAAAATGCATTTGCACACTGAAGTTCCAATAAATGAACAATTTGGATCACCACTTTGTGAAATATGAAATTTAAAATACTGTGACATGTTGAGCTATGGATGACGCCCCTCCCACCCCCCGCCAGCCGTGATGCGCCGAGCGAAGCCAAACTGAGCCGAAGTTAGCCGAGTCCTAGCATCCTCGTACCT